CTAGGTAAGGTAGGCGGACAGGTAATCTATTTTTCGCTCATACCAACCACTGAATGAGTGACCGGGTACGGCTGCAGCTTATCTACCTAGTCTAAATAGGATCCAGAAAAAAAAAATCAAAAAAAAATCGGGTCGATTCCCGTGTCCCAAGCTTCGCTGCCTGCGCAATTCATGTTCCCAAACCAGCAATCAATCAATCAACAGTGCGAGTCCACATTTCACAAGCTTGGCTATCTATAATTATTCTTCGTCTCATTAGGCAACGAATTAACTACACGATGGAGTGAAGGAAGATAAGCGTGCTTATGCAGATAGACAGATAGCCGGATAGCTGCGTACTTGCTGTATCTCGTGCTCGTCGCTCTCTCGCCCCAGGTGGTGTGGTGCGGTGCGGTGCCACCATACGCTGTACATGCAATGATTTGGCAATCAATCTATTGGATATCCAATGTAACTGTTGCACAGCCGCCGCCGCCCAGAGCCACTCGGCCTTATGCTGATTAACGCTCAAATGAGCAGACACACACACACGGCCGGGTTGCCAAGAGACTTACTTGATTGCTTAGAATTCACGTATCCCACAGCGTCACTTGCCACTTGGGACCATGGTACACCACACTACATTTACCTTGCCCTACCCGCATCCCAGGACCGGACCGGAACATTCCCGGTTGTGCCAGGGGCGGGCTCGACTTGGGTCAAGTCGGTAAGGGTGCGCCTGAATTCTGCAGCATGTGTGCATTGGATCGTCCTTGCCACCCACCCAGCTCATAGTCTGGCGTGAGTGATATTGAATATTGCAACAGTGATTTGACCAAGCATGCCAGCGCAAAGGGGAAGAGAGGAGAGAAGAAGCGAGTCAGAGAGGCACCCGACTACGCGAGACAAGATACGACGGCACGCACGACTTCGTGTCACACCCCTCCCCCCCAGAGATCGTCACCGTCCCTCTCTCCGGGGTATTAGCTCCGGGGTATTGCCCGAGACTCGTGGAGGGGTGTGGAGGACAGATAATGAAGAAAAGAAAATGTGTTTGATTTTTCTCCGCGGCCCAAGCCTCGCACCGCTCACTCATTGGCGATCAGCCGCCTGACTACCTTGCCGTAACTAGCGTCGGCAGTGAGGGAGGGAGAAAATCATTGCCGGAATAGCTTCAGCCTCGACGAGTCCACGCGCAAATGGCCTCACGCCTGGCCAAATACCGACAGGCATATACGTAGGTAGTTGGTGATTGGCACGGTGTGTAATAAGTGGCATTGTGATCTGTCGTTTCGTGCTCGTCGCGACAATTGGCCATGGTCGGGATGCGGGATGTTCCCAGCAAACTCATCGGATGCGATCCGACCCTCCATCCCACACACCGCGCCCAAAGGAAAGGTATAAGGTACCTACAGCACGGCAGTAGATGAATTGAACCCGGCGAAGGCCCAAGGGCGGAGTACAGGATCGACATTACATAGATAGGCGTGGTATGGTGTTGCAAACTTGCAAAGAAATGCAATGCGATGCAAGGGGCTGCCACCCTGGCTCGTGGATCTGCAATCGTGTGTTGGACGGGCAAATGATATCTATTGTTATCGTTAGGCATCGATAATTATGTCATTAACCGAGTTCAGCGCCCGATATGGCCTGCCATTTTCGGCCTGCCATCAGCCATCGAGAAAGGGTGCCCGGCCAGGGACACGTACACTGGTATTCCCAAGAAACAATCAAGAGTAAACAATGTGTTCCGGGCTATGCCTGCAAGTGTCGGTCAGCTATCCGAGCGAAGGAAGAAGCGCTTATGCTTCTAGCCCTGACACGGAAGGTAGCAGCCGGACCGCCGGTAGATAGACCCAGATGCCATGGAGCTGCGACGTCCGCGTACAAACCCAAATGCTTAGTAATTAATGTACTTGCGAGGTAACCGCCGGCACTGCGCCAACAGTTGACAGTGACACCTGTCTGCCAGTTCAGAACTTTAAATCCCTCGGATAATCCGGCGTGAGATTCAAGCGTAAAAAGGAGCACGGTGGCGTAGGAAGCTACCGGTTTTCTGTGCATAAACCTTAGCCACAATCCTTGTGATGGTGTCTTCGGCAAGAACGGCAGGCACTACGCAGTATGCCAAATTGTCAATCATATATGGCGCTGAAGCCTAGTTTTGACGCCATGGAGGTCGGTGTTACTGATTGGGCTGGTTGGGCCTGGCTGCTCGACACAGTACACAGTAGGCTCGACCAAAAGGCGCGGCCCCAGGGCTGCTGCATGGTTGGTTGCATCGTTGCTGATCCCCCATGCCTCATTCGAATACCTCCGAACCACCCACAAACGTGTCTAGCGTTTGAGGCAAGGGACATGGCGTGCATCGAAGCCCAGAAAGGGTTGCCAGACGTCGTTGGCGTGTTCTGGCTAGTTCCAGGGTCTTCAGGGAGCCTCTAATGCATGCAGGTCTCCCCAAGGGGAACGCTCCGACCAACTGCAGTGCAGAAAAGCAAACACTGTGCTGCCAGTTGTGCCAGAAAACCTGGCAGTTGCATGCCGGGGCGCCCCAAAGTTCGACCTCGTGGTGATCAGCCGAAAGTACCCGTTGAGACCGGCGAGATGATAGATCGATTTGCTTTCCGCGAGGCGACCCCGGCGGGCGATACGAACATGACGTGGGGGATTACCATGTGGGCGCACGACGTTAATGTGATTGTGAAGAGCGCTTCCAGGAGCTGGGAAACGCCACTCCTTCTCGGCATCCCCTTTCGGGTTTTGGTGCAGATAGAAACCGAGGCAAAAAGACGGGTCAGAACCTTAATCGTCACTGAGTGGAGTGCCGCGGCTCAATTTGCATATATCGGGGTTGTGAAGGCGTCGAGGCTCCCTGGGTGGGGCGGGGCTTGGTTCGTCGAGATACTTGAAGGCCATGTACTCTTGGCTGTGCCGGAACCTCCCGCCGACTCCCACCCACACCTCGCTCTTAACCATGTCACGCTTTATATGTTCTTTTTTTGTGCGGTTCAAGCCTTGCTAGTGGAAGAAGAACGCAGCAAGCGTTGGCTTCCCATGACAGGACCATGCAAACGCAGTCAGATGCTTGGCCCTTGGCCACAGGTCCTCGCTCTTCCCACGAGAATGATAGAACGTTCGCGAATTGCGTCCTTGGCGAAATTTGGGCTCAACGGGGGGCGTTTCCGACGCGCCAACCATGGCCTATGGGTTCATACGCAGGATGGAATATCCCGGGTTTCCTTTCGACCCGGCCCGACTCCGCATTGCTGGGCTTGCCAGACAAGGCAGAGTGTGGTTGCTAGATGCACCCCGCGGTGTCTGCTGAGAATATCGACTCGTGGAAGAGAATGCTGGATGTGCCACCCACGGTCTGAGTGTCCCGTCTCTAAAAGTACTTTCGGCCTGTGGTATTCTCCAGCAACGCTGCGTCTTAGTTTTGGTGCACTCTCGTCTGAGTTTCCCGGTTTGGTGACCATTAGTCCGGAAAGAACGCCCCTCCTACACACAGCCCAACTCCCAGTCGATAGCCCGCCTGCCGTAAACACCATGGCCGGAGAGACGACATACAAGTTCGACCTCGCCGTCGTCGCCATTGTAGCTGCCATCACCACCGTGGTGCGCTACAATGGGCGCAAATACTTCGAGCGGACCATGCCTGAATGGTCCAAGCTCAAGGAGGACATCAAAAGCCGGCTGGCCGTCGAGGTTGCCGTTATCCCATCGCGAATTGTGCTCTTTTACCTGACTCTGCCAATCATGATTGGAGGCTTCTCGCCCATGGAGGAGTGGACGAGCCAGGACACGGCGCGGTCTCTGCTCTCATGGTAAGTGAATGAGGCCATTGAACGAAAAAGGTGAAGACTCACTACTAACACGCATGCAGTGCCATCTTGACTGGCGCCTACATTGTCGACTTGACTGTGACGCGCAACGACAAGGGCGCAACGCTGCATCACATGATGGGCCCGGCACTGCTGCTCTGGATCCGGACGAGCTTCTCGTCCTTTTCGCCGTCCGACGCGCTGCTGTGCCGGCTGCTGATCCAGTTCGTCTTCTTCGGGGCCACCATCTCGGGGGCGACGACGACGACTCTCGTGTTCCTGTACCAGTTCCGCAAGACGTGGTTCCGGTCGTCGGCGTCCAACGCGTACCTGTACTTCACGCTGCTGCTGCCCGTGCTGGCCCTGACCACCGTGGCCAGCACCTTTTACTGCAGCATCTACCTCAACGTCTGGTACCCCGAGCTGCTGGCCTACTTTGGCGCCTGGGGATACCTGCCGCTGGGCTGGGTGCTGCTCGAGTGCGGCATGCAGTGGAAGTGGCTGATGTGGTTCTACACCTTTGACGAGTGGTACCGTGCCACCACGGCCGACGAGACCGACGTGCCCAAGGAGGCCAAGGAGCGCATCGCCGACATCGCCAACGGCGCCTGGTGGCTGCCTCGCTGGCGCTTTGCTGCCATCAAGGCCCTCGTGCTTGTATGGCTCGTCACTGTCGCCGCGCTGGTCTGGCGCAAGGGCGACGTGCACTTCTGGGTCGGGAAGGCAGCTTCCCTGGCCTTGGAGGCGTGGGGCGGCGATGGCGTCAATCTTCGGGTTGCAAACGGCTCGGGCATTGATGCGCACGTAGAGCTGTAATGTAGTGTTGGGGAAGAGAGCGGTGGATTGGCAAATGGGTTTAATTCCATCGATATTCCGTGGGATCAGCCAGATTGGATTGGGACTCGACGATAGGCAATCTTTGTATCTAAGGACTTGTTCAACCTGTCGAGCAAGGCAGCAGACGATGAAGTGTAATCAAGGGCAACGAATCAGAAACAAAAATGTATGTGCAAAAACTTTTTGTCCTCTTGATTGGTAAGTAGGTAATCAAGACCTTGTAGCGGGCAGTCCCTACATTATATCGGCGGACTTGGAGGCCTTTATCTGAGGATCCCTTTATCTAATCATGAGTAAAGCCAAAATAGAAAGAGAATCTATAAAAAAGTAAAATAAAAGTAAAAACAGCAAAAAATAACACTTCGACCGAGCTGGGACTCGAACCCAGAGCCTTTACCAACTGAGAGTTGATTTAACCGGAAAGTAACGCGCTACCATTGCGCCACCCAGCCATTGGTATGTCTCGTCCTCCTGGAATAATACTAAATTCAGCCCAGCCAAGACTTTAATAAGGTAAATTCTCTAGGATAAGACTAAAAACATCCTCATTTACAGCGACGCGATATTATTTCAACTAATATTTTTAATGTTATTCTTCCTGCTTAATCATGCTAGTATCGCTAAGGATTTGCAAAGGGGTCTATAGCCGATCAAAGCTCTTGGGATCTTATACTTTCTTTCACGAGCAATTCACAATCAACTCACTTACCACGTAGAATTTTAAAGGGCTTCACTGCCTTTCACTTGCAATGCTCACCCATGCCTCAAACTCAAAAGATCTAAGACCGTTTATCTCATTTCGTTCTATAATAGGCGCGTTCTATCATAGGTGCACTGCATAGAGTCAGATAAGCAACGGAAAAAAGTATTAATAGCAACAAGGAGTTAGCAGCTAGTTCGGGTCAATCAAATTCAAATCTTCACGCTCCACTCAACATCCTCCCAGCCCTCGCGGCGGCGGATGCGAACGGTGCGGGCGATGGGCTTCTTGGCGCCCGTGGAGCCCTCGTAGGCGGGGGCCTCGATATGGTCGCCGTCGCGCTCGGCGCGGAAGTCGAGGGCCATGACCATGAGGACGCCCGAGGCGAGGATCTCCGTCTTGGCCAGGTGGCGGCCGGGGCATAGGTGGACGCCGCCGCCGTAGGGCACGAATCCCTGCTCGCGCGCGCGGCCCTTGGTGTCGGCCGCCGCGCCGCCTGGCATAAAGCGCCATGGGTCAAAGCTGGTCGCGTCGCCGCCCCAGATCTGGTCGCGGCTGTGCAGCATGAAGGTTGGTATGGACACGCGGCCCCCAGCGCGCATGAAAATGTTTACCCCCGACTCCGGGTCTTCTAGCACCGTGTCCTTCAACACGGCCCGGTTGCACGTCGGGGTGCTCCCAATGCGCAGCGCCTCCTGGTAGCATGCCACCAGCAGCGGCAAGGTCTTGGTTGCTGCTGATATGTCGATTTGCATCTTCTTGTTACTGTTGTCAGACTCTACCTCGCTCACAACATCCTTGATCTCGTCTCGCAGCGCTGCGTGCAGCTTGGGATTGGCCAGGATGTTGTAAACCATGCACACGGTCGTCGGAACAGTGTTGACCGTCGCCACCGAGATGTTGAACACCTCAAGCCGGGCGAGGTCATTGGGACGGATGCCCCGACCGAGCACCGACGCGATAGTCGACTTCACGGCCTCGCTGGCGAACTGGTGACGTCCCTCTTGCACATAGGTTTCGAACGCAGCGGAAATGCGGTTTACCGCGCGCACGCCAGCCGGCGCAACCCACTTCCGCATAACGCCCCACATGCTAAGTCGCAGCTGGTTCTCGTCAAAGATCCTGGATATCTGGTCAGCGGTCAATCACGCGGTAAACCCCATAGCAGCGACATACCAGATATCCTCGGCCAAGCTCGGGTCGAGGGCAATGGGGTTCTTGGGACCGTAAAGACCCGCCACGGTTCCCATGGTGATAACGTCGCGAAGCCACTTGAACAAGTCGCGGCTTTGCCAGTCCGTGCCGACCAGGTTGACCGACGAAGCGACGGCGCTAGACGCCACTCTGCTGGGCTCCTCGAGGGTCGCGCTGCCAGTCGAGAGCATCCTGGTGAACTCGAGGCGACGCTCCGTCAGGGCATCCGATCCGATGAACTTGCCATTCTGGTCGACGCCTAAGTGGCGGTTGGCGCTCTTGCTAAGACCCAGCATTCTCGCGGCCACAGTGGCGCTGAGCGGCTCGAGCGACATTTGGCGACTCCGGAGCGCCGCGTGGGACAGCCCTGGCGATGTGACGACATATGTCTTCATGTTCAAGATTTTCATGGTATATGCTGGCCATGACGTTTGACGGCTTGGGGTGCCGGGTTAGCGATGAACTAGATGGCGCCGAGACAGTAATACGGAGCTAGGACTCACCGCAGCGTCTCCATATACGAGACACCGAGCCTGTAGAAGCCTAGGAGATGCCCGAAAATGGGGATGAGGGTCCTCGATACAGGCGGCTCCTTGGCGTCTCCATTCTTTGGAGATGCCACGAAGAAGTGGTGCCAAACCACGAGCGCTGCGCCAAAGCCGAGAGCAAAGATTAGAGAGGCGCGACTCGAGACACTATGGTTACCCGACAAGCTTCCCGAGCCAACTGCATCGGTGGACGCGTTAATGCCAATGTCCATGGTGAAAACGACTGGCTCTCTCGAGACCGGGTGTTAGTGACGTCTTGTTTGGCAGTTTAACCCCTCCTTGAGATGCTTGAGGTCGGCAGGGGAAAGGAAGGAGAACGACAAGGCCGGCATCAACGATTGCGGCAAAGGGAGAGAGAGAAATGCTAGTAGCACGTCTATGTTTTTGACCTTGGTTGGAACTCGGTCTGCAGGAGCATCAGACTTTTGGCCGTCATTTCGTCAGTGTGTCGCCATGTCACTGTGTCACTTTGTTACAAAATTTTTCCTTCTTCATTGTTGCCTGGATATTTGCCGAGACACTCCACGTTCCAGAGAGATGCTGGTGTGGGATGTAAGATGACGCGGTGTGAGTCTATCATTCCGGCCTGTCAGCGCTAGGGAGACCGGAACTCGCAAGTCGAGAGCGGCCTCAAGGTGGGGACGTAAATTCTCTCGTTAATGGGCTCCAGTTCCGTTCCCAAGACCGCCGATCCCAGAGCCCTACGGCTATTTATCGCAATTCCCTGGTACTTGTGCGTATCTGAATGTCGATCTGAGCGTCTCCCGGCTTCACAGCCGAGCGATAAGTTGCGCACGTTGTTGGTTCAGGGCCCAGGTTGCCAATGGGCCGAAGTCAGTACAGTCAGCCGACATGCCGTGTCCAGGGCCCCCCCCCCACCCCCACAGTCCGAGGTATTATTAAGGGCATGTCCATCATCCACTCTGGCTAGCTGCATATCATTGTATTAGAAACATGGCCTTAGACCCATGCCATCTGCAGTGCAATGTCGCAATCCCGCCAGCTTGAGCTCCCTCGAGAGAGCCCTGGCTCGAGCATGGATATTTGTGGTGTGGCGGGACATACACAGTAGCCTGCAGGTCTCACAAGCCACTGCATCCTTCACTGGCTAGCTCCACGACAAACAAGGCACTTTATGTTGCACAAAATATGGGCTTCCAAATTGAGTAAACCAAGGTTGTTAATGGCTGACACACCAGATATGAGCCTTGTCGAATGAGATCTCTCGCTAAGATTTTATCTCAAGCTGTCTGCTATTTTGCTCTTATTTTTGACGTTTATTATTGCCGAAAAATCTCGTTGGAGAGGGATGCAATCAGCTGTCATAGCCGGGGTTAGGGTTGGCTGATGACTGTCTCTCTTTCCTGTTCTTCCTGTCTTCATACCGTCGTTCCAAGTGTCCTTTTTCCTTCCCGAATTTCTTTGTAACCCTTTCTCGACTCCCGGTGTGCAGATTCTGCTGCTTCTGCTCTTGATTCTGCTCTTGCTTCTGCTGCTGCAATTGGCACCTGACAGTTTTGCAACCGGCCGTGGCACAATGGCTGTCTCATCGCTTCTGGGGCTGGCTTCCACCATCGCCCTAGCGTCCTATCTCAAGGTCTCCGGGGCTTCGTATCCGTTCGTGGTCCTCGGTCTCATCGCATCTTCCGTAGCCCAGATAGCCGTCTATCTGGGGTATTCGAGCCTCATCTACCGCTGGTATTTGTCTCCGACAAAGGACCTCCCTCACCCTAAGGTATGCAGTCTTTCCATAGTATCGTCAGACGGCACAGTCAACTGACCTCGAATTTTCGCAGGGTACCCCATTCTTTCTCGGAAACTTGATTCCGTTCCTCAGTGAACCATGGGGGTTCCCGTTGGCTCGCTGGCAGCGGACGGTCACGGCATCTCCCAGCGGTTTCTATCGTGTCTTCCTCGGCCCGTTCGACTTTCTGATCCCCAAGAGCTCTCAGGCTGTGACGGCTGTTATGAGCCAACCGTACGTCTTCGAGAAGCCTCCTGCAGTTCGGGATGGCCTGGTCGAGACCCTCGGCGTCGGTCTCGTGGCTGCCGAGGGTGATGTGCACCGCGTAGGTACACCCGCAACATGATTGTGTGTAATAGAACCAGTTCTGATGATGGCATACAGCGACAAAAGAAGCTTCTTACACCAATCTTTGGCTTGAGCCGCAACCGACGTCTGGTGCCGCAGATGTGGGCCAAATCGGTGGTGCTCGCCGATAGGATGCGGGATCTTGTCAAGGAATCCGGGGCCAAATCGACCATCATGTTCATGCATCCATTGACAATGGCTGCGACGCTCGATGTCATCGGAGTCACAACTCTCGGCGTCGACTTCAACTCGGTGCAGAACCCGGACCAGCCCATCCTCGAGGCCTACCAACGCGTCTTCCCGTCGTTGGAGACCCAGAACGCGTTTGAGAGATTCTTTGGCGCGACGCTGCCGGCAATCATTTCGCCGCACCTGCTGTTCAAGTTGCCGCTGAAGCCGATCCGCGAATTCCACAAAGGCATCGCTATGCTGCGCACATTTTGCCTCGACCAGATCCACCAAAAGAGGCGAGAGATTGACGAGGCGAAGATGGAGGATTCCGAGATTAGAGAGAAGGATATTCTGTCGGCCATTGTTGCCTCGGGTCTCCAAGACGAGGAGGAAATTCTGAGCCACATTCTGACCATCCTCGCGGCTGGGTAAGTGAACATCTGGGTGAAGCAGTATTCCGATTTCTGGCGATGGCTATCTGACCACGACCTCGATAGTCACGAATCAACTGCCATAACCCTTGCGTGGGCCATCTTCAAGCTTGCGCAGCATCCCGATGTCCAAGAGAAGTTGCGGGCAGAGGTCCTGAAGGCCCAAGCGGCTGGCATCGGGAGCGACGGAGCGCCGACTCTTGACGAGATCAACTCGTTGCCGTACCTGCGGTGCTTCCTGATGGAGGTGCTGCGGCTGTACCCGGCATTCCCATCCATGATGCGGGAGCCGGCACGGGCGACGACGGTGGGCGGA